TGGTAAATTTCGATCTTTTTTCATGTATTGATAGAATGATTTATTTGGTTTTTTGTACTTTTGTGGTTTATTTTGATTGTCTTCCTGTTTATGTCTGCATTCAGCAATACTGTGTCCGTATCTTCGACAAAAGTTACACAATTTTTTCAATGATGGTTTACCTTTAAAATTTGGGTTTTCCTCATATATATTCAGCGTTTTAGTGATTTTTTCGAATAAATCTGTATCTGAAATATGTATATTATTTATTTATGTTGTAGTTGTTTGAATATTATTAACGTACTGTAATTTGAAATTTTCCGTTTCTTCTTGTTTCATAGTAATCTCTGCTTGTTCTAGTTAATCTACTAATTTTCTGAAATCTAGATCTGGTTCTCGACATGAGGAAGGATGCTCTATTTTTAATTGCTATTTTTCGTAATTGAGGTGTTAGAGTCATCATTAAAATTTCTGTCATTTTTGTGTTTCTATAATCATGAGTTTTTAGTGAACATGTTTTCTGACTAGTGTTTCGATCCTTACTACTAGTTGTTTGATCGTTTCATTTGGTAGTCTACGGATTTCATTGCAAAAACTCTTTGAAGTTGTTTGTTCCTTTCTGAATCAAACATTTTTGAAAATTCTTGTCTGAATCTTTTCTAATCTGATTTTATTTCTATAGGTACAACTGAAAACCATTTTTGAGCTGCACCATCAAGTGTGGTTTGTTTTAACGCTGTGCGTCTATGTATCCAATTTTGGTGAAGTGGCGTAATTATGGTTTCAGGTCCTATGTTTAAAATTAAATTTGCTGTGACTGCATTTAAATACTCTTCTACAGAATATTCAGGATCTGTGCAGGTGAATACCATCAATGGCTTGTTTGATTGTATTGATAATCCACCCATGAGGTATGGATTAATAGTCGTCTGTGTGATTCTGCGGCATTTGGCATTTGTGAAAAGTTTGTAAGTTGACTTTTTTGTGATTTTGTGTTGTTGTAAATAATAGGGTAGTGGGATTTCATTTTGCATTTGTGTTAGTTGATAGTAATCTGTGTTTACTGGATTTTACTTTTGTATTGGTTGATATGATTGTGTATAGGTTGGGTTTTGCGTTTGCAATATTTGGTGGTTTTGTGTATTAGCAAGGTTTTTTGAGTAAAAATTTGTATTTTAGGACGCTTGATTTGGTCGTGGTGCTTTCACACGGTATTCTTGTGTATATGGTGCAAAAACATCTGGTTGATAATAGTCATCTTCATCTGATGATAAATAATTAGATGTATAATAAGGTGTTTTGCGTTTACCTTGGTTTTGTTCATTATTTTTACTCTGTTTGGTCTTGTGAAAAGCGTGGATAGTCAAGAGGTGAAATGGTCTTGTGAAATGCGTGGATAGTCATGAGAATTGACTGAGGTTGTTGTTGGTTGTCGGAAATTTTGTCTTTGTGAAAATAAATGATTTTGGGTATTTGGGCGAAAAGATTTCGATGTTTGGTGTCTATTTACATAGTTATAATTGTGTTCTGCAAAGTTATTTCTAGTGAATGTTCTTTGTTTTTGTATTGGTTTGATCATTGGTCTAAATGGTTGGTAGCTCACATGTAGGTATCTTGGTTCGATGGTGGGTTAAACTGTAGATTTTAAGGTTACCTGTGGTAAGCTTGGATTTTTTGGTCTTGGAGTTGTAAGATTCGGATGTATTGGTGAGATACTTTGTTGTGAAGTTTTTACTACTGTGGTAACTACTCATTCATTTGTGAGATGTGATGATGTTTGAATATCTTTTTATGTGAGATTCCTAGTTCTATTTAGGTTTTTCTGTTGTATGACAGTTGAATTTAAACTATTATTTCCTGTTCTATCGGGTTAAAATGATTTAAAGTTTAAAGGTGTTGCATCAGTTGTGAGTGGATATACCTTAACATAATCTTTCTATTTGGAAATTGCGCCAATGGCTTGACTTGAATTATCTGTTGGTATGTTAATGAATAATGGATGAGACCATTCAGAGTCCCAAACATAATCTGATTTTTCTGCTAATTCTGTATCATCTGTTGAATTTTGTGGTCTGAAATTCTTTCTCGCTTGTGAAATTAAATCAAGATTATGTGTGAAATAATCTATGATAAACCATGCTAAGATTTTTTTGTAAATTGTGTTTATCGTTTTGTGCAACGTCATTAATGGTTAAATTTTCACGGATTGTATTTAAATATTCGGAAAATATCGTGATTTCATGTCTTACAGTTGTATGTTTTGATGTTTGAACAGGTGAAGTTCCTTGCGATTCTGGTTTTTCTAATATAGATAAATAGCTATAAACTATTCTAAATACTTGACTTGTAAATATTGAATATGCTCTTTGTGAATTTTGGTGTTGTATATTTTTTATGTATTCTGTGAATACAATTGAAAATTCTATATCTAAGTCGTCTGTTTGAAGTAGATACCTACCATGAAATTTACTTGGGGTCTGTATTTCTATGGTATAGGTTCCGTACTGTTGTGTTAGGTTACATATTCCTTTGAGATAGTGGTCGACAATTTGTCTTTTGATTTTTACTTCTGGAAATTCTGCTGTGCATGGACTAACTCCTCTTTCAAATAAATTTGCTTTTAAATTTTGACAAAAATTTGTTTGTCCTCTATCATCAGTGAGAGGAGTGATTATAAATGGGAGGATGGAGTTTTCATCTCCACTTTCTTCATTTTGACTCATTTTTAAGCTTTATGACTGACAGTTTGTAACTTTCAATGTGTTTTATTGGTTGATTCCAATTGTACAGTCGTACTGGTTTGTTCTTTTATGTGTTTTTTATTTTTCGTTTTCCTTGTATTGATGAATGTGATGTGGTTTCTGAGTCAGAAAATTACAATATATTTTTAACTGGGTAATTCTTATTTATTGAGTCTTTTAATCTATAATGTTCTTCTAAATGACTTGTTTCTGATTCGGAGAAAAGCGTTTCTTTGTTTTGAAAATTTTTTCGTGTAATCTGTCTTTATTTGCTTAAAATTTTTCGTTTGATTTTTTGCCGTTTGGTTCTGTTATATCCTGTTGACTGTCTGTGTGGAGTGATTACGAGATCATATTTCTCGTTGTTTATTTCACAACTGTGTAATTTGATTGTTTGTTTATTTCCTAAATTGTCTAGTGACATAAGGTTTGGGATGAAGGGTGCAATATTTGGATTAGTGATTTTTAATGCATAAACCATTAGTTCTTACAATTTTTTCGGGTTAGCATAACTTGGGTCTTGTTGTTTAGGGTTGGAGAGAAAAGCATGTATCGATTCCGAAGAATGATTGTTACTTTCTCGTGGCTAGTCTTAGTTAAGGTGTTAACTTACTTAATCTTACTTAAGGGTAATGATTGTGTTCAAGGGTTGGAGAATATTAAATCGATCCAGAAGGTTCAAGTATAAATAGAACACAAGTAGTTCGTTAGATACTATTTTAAACTTACTAAGTTTAAATATTAACCTGGGTGAGGTAAAAGGGGGGATCAAGTGAAGGATGAATAACCGAAGTTCTTCACTGTTTATCCTAATTAGAATGGTTAGTGTGATTGAAAAATTTCTGTTAGTCCTGGGTCATAGAAAGGGTTGGGTAGTGAATTGACGTTTGAGGTCGTTAGACACTATGCGAACTGTGTGGGGGGAACAAAATTGTTCTATTTGATCCAAGGATAAGCCTTGATGATCATAATATAAATTAATGATATAAAAATTAGTAGGCAATAAAAAAATGGAGGTCCAAGAAAATCCTTGATGATCTGTTTAAATTGAAAGGTTTAATTTATGTGAAAGTAAAAAAGAATAGGCCTCTTTAAAGTAATTTAAAGTTTAATTGATAGGAAGGTTTAGTTTTTGATGATGTTAGTGGTTTTATGATTTGTTTGTTTTGTTTAGGTGATGAAGCTGAGATGAAGAAATGATTTCTAAATTACTAACAATTTGTGTATTTTAACTAACTCAATTTTGTTTTTTATTCTAATAAATCTTTTCTGTAGATACCTTTTTCAAATTTACTGCAGATTAAACGAAACGACTAGTGATATTTTTATCAGTCGTTAATGTACAATAATAAGTTTAGCGCCTGTAACTATTGATGAAGATTTTTCTTCAAAGATACTATGTCTGCAAATGAAAATCTAAATTCATTGCTAATAAAACTCTAAATGTAAAAGTTTGTGTTGGCTTTTGCCGTACGACCATGAAACTTATGGGTAAGTTCCGTTGTAGTCGTATATCGTGTCTTGTCCGAGATCTTCTTCCAAGACCGGGGAGTTCTCGTATTGTTCGGAATAATGGCTCTGATCTATTGAGTCGTAGAGACATTTCAATTAAATTAATAACGTGTAAAATTTTTGTGAATGTTTGTCTAAGTTTAATCTATTTTTGGTTAGTTCTAAGCTATTTTATTCCTTAAGGTCTCATTCGAGACTTCTGGTCGCACCAGATGAGTTGGGATGAAGCTCTAACTTATAGAGTAATTTCAGATAAGGTACACCGTCTGCTCGTCACGCTATCTTACTTTTGGCCGGATAGATTCGTCCAACTTCTTAGTCTAATACCGATCTTAATCTTACTCTTATATCTCTTAGTCTCAATAGATCTAGAGTATACTGGTTTGTTACGAGTTGGTCTCTTGGAAAAGGCAACTAAGCTGTAAGTTAAATTCAGAATGCTCTGGTGCTGAAACTACAAGTAGTTTCAGCACTTACAAATAAATGGGTTGTTAGCTAGATGGAGTATGATTGGTTAGTCTTCAGTATTTTATAGAGATAAAATATCTAATTTATAACCAATAATAATATACAGTTTGGATCAGGTTCCAAACCTTTTCATAGAACCTCTGCGAATCGCAGGAACGACAATTATTATTAATTAGTTAACGGTAAAAGTTTGAGATTGAAGTTGCACTTCACTATGTTAAAAGTTTTTGGTAAACTAATGAGCGCTAAATTCACGAACATTCCCGGCACGCCGCTCTAAAAAGTGATACATGTTTATAGGTGAAGATAAATATTGCGGTTGTTGGGCAAGCGAGACAGGGCAAGTCGGCGCTCATCAATGCCCTTCTCGGCTCAGAAATAGCAGAAGTGCGAGAAGACGGGGTGTGCACAGCAGAAGTTACAGCCTACCCCCACCCGAGGAGTGAAAACATTGTATTCTGGGACGTTCCTGGAATCGACGGAACGCGACACAGGATTGAGACCTATTTTGACACCATAAACTATGCTCAAAACGATTACGATTTTTTTATTATTGTGACCCGAGACGTATTTTCAGACAACGCGCTCAAAATTGCAGAAAAAGTGAACCGCGAGCTAAATAAAAGATTCTATTTAGTCAGAACCCATGTCGATGAATCAATTAAGAAAATGTTTAAATTGGATAAATCTAGAACAATCACGGCAAAAAAAGCAGTCAGCTCAATAAGGCGAAAAATTGAGAAGGAAATGGAGACAAATACCTTCAAATCATGCATTTTCAAGCTTTATTTGGTCAATAATTATGATCCATCAAAGTACGATTTTCCAAAATTGCAGAAAGATATCTGTAAGGACGCGCCAAATATTATTAGCGAAGCTCTAAAGCTAACAATCAGTGCGAGAAGCGAAGAACTGATTGAACTCAAGTACCAAATGTTCCTGCCACGGCTGAAAATGGGTTCTCTGGCTTCCGCTGCGACCGCGGCTGTTCCTGTTCCGGGTTTCGGCGCTTCTGTCGATTTGGATATTTTAGTTTATGAAACCTGTAATTATCTTTTTTCCTTTGGCCTCGATCCCAAAGGCATTCGTGCCTATGAAAGACTTCTGTCTTTAGATGAAGGTGATCTTGAACGCGATCTAAATAATTACTTGAAAAACCATGCTCCTTTTGTCTTTTTCGTGCGTAATAAATCTCTCGATGTCGACATAACTTCGGAATCGCTTTGGACTACCGCCGCAACTGTGGTGAAATCGGGAGGACCAATTTTAGCTAAAATGGTAGCAGAGCAAGCTACCTCAGAGGCTGTGGAGTCAACACTGAAAATTTTCATTCCGGTTATTGGTCAAATAATTGCAGGTTCTATTTCCTTTGGGTTGACATAATGCCAGCTGAAGAAATCTCTCGACACAGTCAGAAAAGCTGCACTATTTATAAATAGAGCTGGCGTGCAAATGCAAGCAGATCGGCTGGGGGATTATGAGATCGACGACGATGTGGAGGAAAACTCATCTAGTCCGGAATCATCTGGAAGCAACTCCTCGGAGCGCCGTCATCAAATCCAAAAGACTGTTTTAATCATCCAAAACAATGTAAGAATTATGTCGCTATTTTCAGCCTCGGGAGCTGCGGTGCCTGTCCCGGCTTTAAGTGCTATCATTGACATGACGATTATTTACCAGCAGGCACAGTCTTTCATATACCAGTTTAATTTGGATCAAAAATCGGTGGCGGGGACTGAAAGGCGGCACAGAGTCAACCCCGGGTTGTTTGAGACACAGCTGAATAACTACATGAAGTTCAGACAGCCCTTGATGCACTACATTCGAAACCTGAGCGATGATCAACATCTGAATGCTGGTTTGCTCAAATCTACCCTGGTATACTCTCAGAATCAGGTATTGGTAACGACCACGTCTGAGTTTGTAGAAAACGGCGCCAAATATGTAGTTCCGTTTTTCGGTTCATTCATTGCAGCTGCAGTGTCTTTTGGAACTACAAGGATCCAGTTGCTAAAACTTCTGGAAGGAGCGAGCGATGCTGCTTATCATGTGGAGCACTTAGTAGCAAGGTTCGGAATGTAGAAACTATTGTGAAAAAATTAGATAACTGAATTTAAAAGAACTAGGGCTATTATTTTGACGAAAACAAAGAAAAAATCTACAAGAATTAGCTTAGTGCCATTTTTTTGCTTTACAATGATCCGCAAAAAGACTGCTTTGAAACTGATACCAAATTTTCTCAGTTATAAATCAATAAATTTTATTTTCAAATTGAATGATAAAATTAATTCAAAAAACTTGAAAAAACAATGAAAAAATCACGAACCATATATATGTTATCACATGCTCATCAGTCGCACAATAATCTTTTCTAGTCATTTGACATTTGACATTTACACAATCAACTTTATCAGCATCTCGGCTCTTGTATGCCTCATGAAAAGTACCCTAAAAAGCATGCGTATCCATGATCATTCAAAAAAAATTGAAACGCTTAGAAAAGGAATGGGTGCTGTGATAACTTGAGGAACGTCCCTTAGTTGATGATACAAAACTAACGATTTCAAAGAAGTCAATTCATCTTCAACGTGCTTTCTTTTCTTTAGCTCAGATCCTCTGGCTCGATACAATAGCTACGTATCGTAGACTGAATTCGCATTCTTTTAATTCAACCTCTTTTAGATTTGGCACTAAATGGCCTTGACATAATAGCTAACATAATAACATAAAGATTACTACAACCGCACTACCGCATTCGCTGGGGAATAGGAAAACTTTATGAGATTGCTACGATAAAAATTTAGATTATCATACGTGTTTTGTTTCTTAGTTTTCATAATTTTAAGATTTCAACTTCTGTACTTCATCAACTTCCCTGTAGTCGGGCTCCAATGGTACCCTTCACGTCGCGTTTCACGACTTCGTGATATCCAGAGAAGCGTTGCCAAGCTTCCTAAGCAATAAGTGTTTTTCTAAGAGACTTAGTCTGTCAAATTGTCGGTCAGCGGCTTGAGTTTTGCCAGTTTTGTCCGATACGCCTACAAGACGGCTTTCACGAAATCGGTGATTGCATTTCATCCATACTAATCTCCCTCACCGAATGCTCAAGAAGATCCCAAAATCATTTCGGTTCTTGATTTTGTTCCTCGAATTTTACTTCCTGGTGAACCTTCTTGACTGGATTCATCAGAAAATCCAGCAGTTCGGAAATGAAAAGGAATTATCGCGTATCGTCATTTGGATATCTTGCTCGTAGAATCGCGGCAACCGTTTTCTGCACTGCTCGCGTCATCAATTGGTCTGCAAGACTCTCCCACACTTTGGGTGCATATCTTGATGCTGGAACGCATCTAGTATTTTTTTTCAGGTTTAGTGTGTCCAACCATCTATTTCATATTTTTCTTTTTTGGTCTTCCGAGCAATTTTTTGTGTCAAATTGCTTCGTTTCTCTTAGATTTTAGATTTCTCCGGCTGATTTTCTTCGACCGGTTTTTTGAATTGATTCTGCAGCTTTTGTTTTTTCTGGTCTCCTACACCGTAAGTCAGCCTTTCTTTTTTAAAGCCAGCCTTGATATATAGCTTAGACCCCCTCCAGCTCCGTATCCTTTGATACAACCATAGACTGGGTTTTTTGAAACTGGATCTAAACTGTTTCTTGATCTCTGATAGCTGCCGGTACAATTGTTTCTCTTCTGGGTCGCTCTACCTTGGTGGCGCAATAGTTTTTTCGCTTTCATTAGGTTTAATTTTTTGATATTCTGACAGACTTTTGCATGATTTTTTCTGTGCCATGTTTTCTCCATGCAGTCAATATTTTTGCATCGCTATATCACTTTTCCTACAAATTGCAGCACCTGCAGTTGATTATATAGTCGATATGGTTTCGTATGCAATTTTTCCTTTGAGTAGATTCGTCCTTGTTTTGCGATGCTCTTTCCTTCCCGGGTTGACCTACATTGACCAAAAATGCTACTCATACAATTCAATAAACTAAATTTATGAAAAAATACTAATCATACAAATTTCATACATTTTGCTAAAATGGGGTCGTCGAATTTTCGAAAAAAATTTTCTCTTGCTTTGGCATAAAATTCGGTGTATCGTACTAAATAAAAAAAGAAATGTCAAAGAAAATGCTAATCATACAATTTCCATTATAATAATTGTGTGAGACAGAATTAAAACATTTCAGGCTGTTTTCAATGCATTTTAATGCGAGACGGCCAAACTTTTAGTTACTACGTTTGAGTAACAAAGGTATGTGTCATTTGTTTTCAGTTACGAGCACAATCTAAAGTTTTGAGAAATTGAAATGTACAAAATCAATATTTTTGGTTTATTGAAAAATGCTAGTCATACAATTTCCATATATGAAAAAATACTAATCATAGACCTTTCATGCAATTTTCTGTACTTATGGATTTGCATGAAAAAAATATGGTTAGCATTTTTCCAGATATGAAAATTGTATGACTAGAATTTTTGGTCAACCCGGGTTATTAGCAGATTCTGTGACAATTCCGGTCATTGCGTATCCTACTCATCTTGATAAACTCCTTTGCCGGGGAGTACAGTTCTTTGCGCAGTTCTGGAATGCGTTCGTTGGTTATCTTCACAATACGTCTAATGCCGTTAATCTCTGTTTCTCTTAGCTCTGCGTTCCACTGTATTGGCTTCTAAAAAATTTTTCAATATTGTCGCTCTGTTTTAAATTTTGAAGACCTTAATTGCTGCTTAATCATCGAACTTGTTACTCTACTCTTTTGTCGTTTTCTTTTGACTGCTCAATTCTCGTTAACTGTGTGACGGTGCGGGTTAACCTTTCCAAAAGGCCTTTTTTTAAAAGAGCAGTTTTGTATAGTCCTTAATTTGTTAAATCTAAGATTTCTAATAATTTTGCAGAGATATTTTTTTTGACTTGATAATTTAATTTAGTATTTTTTCTCTTTATCTCCATTTCATTGTTTGAATAGTTTTCTTGATGAGACTGTACCACCCCTCGGCCGGCCACCGGACGCAATTTTCGTTCGATGCTAAGTTTTTTACAATTTTTTTTCCTAGACTTGCTTTTGAACCCCTAGAAGTGATTGGTTTTGATCGTTTCTGGTATAACAAAAAAGTCGATATAAACATGAAGAAGTTTTATCGTTGACTTCCCGAGTTGTTTTTGTTGCTTTTACTGAAAGAAAGTTTGAATACCTATCTATGGCTACTAGGAGAAAAAAATTTCCGCTAATGATCTTCTAATGGTCCTGAATAAGATTACTGCGCTTTCTGGCCGATTTTTAGGTTTGATAGTTTTAACGTGCTGACCAGATAGCAAGGTCCATACGGATTTCTCCTGACTTCGTCGGCTAAATTGACAATATATTCCAGCAAATGGGGCCATGACAAGTAATTGGATACGTCTAGCATTGCCTCTTGACTAGCTTAACCACGATTCTCTTCATCACCGCTGGCCTGAGCTGTACGGATACTACAAGACGATTGTCGACCAGAGTGCAGTTGTCTTTCACTGCTATTTGGTTCATTGGGGGTTTGTTTATGGTCCAAGAGATAAAACTCTTGCCGATCATTTAATTCTATCAACCTGCTTGGTCGATTCAACCGAGTGTCTTTAGAGACTAGCTCAGCCAAAAGAGTTCAGTCGAACAGTCGGGATGGACTGAAAAGGCCAATTTCCTCAAGCTACTCTGACAGTTTGAACTCGTCTCGTCAAAAAAATGACTGGCTCGTTTATCCGGGTTGTGGTCCCAGCCTTCTTCCACTCTGCCGGCTTGTTAGTTGAACCGTAAAATTATGCATGATATGATTACTTACCTGTCGCCTTTTCTCCAACGCTGTTGAGATTGCACTGCTTATTTGTTTGTGCAGTCAATTTTAATTGATTATGAGTGTATTCATATCTAGTTGGTGA